GCTCCACTTCCATACCTCCCCTCTCAATACCTTCCTTCTTTCCAATTCTGAATCATTAAGTAATCTAGATTCCGCAATCAACTCCAATTTGTGTAAGTCCTCTTTCGCAACCTGTAAATTATGCTTGATATCCCCAAACACCTTTGCATTCCACTGCTTTAGTTTTAACTTAAAAGCTTTTAACTTAGAAGAAATGACAAATCCAACCCCTCCAGATACACCCAAGGCCTCCCAAGACTGCTTAACAAATGAGAGGAATTGAGGGTGCAACACCCATGCATTAATGAATCTAAATGGCCTCGGACCCTAATCTCTAACATCTTCCATTAATACAATTGGACAGTGATCTGACTCATATCTAGGCAATCCCTAGAACTTAAATTTGAACATATGGACCCATTCAGGAGATAAGAGGAACCTATCTAGCTTACTCCATTTTTCACCATCCGCAACATTGCGCCAAGTGAACTATCTACCTAGTAGAGGTAGCTCTGTGACCTCCATTAGATCAATAAAGTCATTGAAATCCTTCATTTCCCTGTCCCTTCTAAGGCAAACTTTTCATTCCCCTAAGGTTCTAACTTCATTGAAATCCCCCCTAAAACACCATGGCTTCTGAAAACTGGACTTTAATCTAACAATAGAATACCAGAAGAGCCCTCTTCTAGCAACCTCATTTGGTGCATAAACATTGGCCAACACACACTCAAAATCAGAAAGGAGAGTACCTGAAACTAGGATGACATTTCTATTACTACAACAAGAAGTCATTGAGAACACCGACGGCCGCCAAACACACCACAACCCCCCTGCTGTTCCTTTTGAATCAACAGCTACAAAATCCATCTCCTCCCATGGCCATAATGAGCGAACCATACCTTCAACCATCCTTACTTTTTTAGTTTCTTGAATGAACACAACATCCACCTTTCTTTCTCTAAAAACATCCTTTATTCTATGAATTTTCCTGGCTTTACCCATGCCCCTGACATTCCAAGACAAAATTATCATTACAATAAAATAATACTCCTAATACCTCCAACTTAAGCTACTCACTACGAAGCAGTTCCAACCCGCTGAGCAGCTCGATCCTCATCAACACATTCCAATTCCACACATCGTTGCATGACTTCAGCCTCAGCACCATTGTAGTTCAGCCCCAAGACTTTACCGAGTTTTTAAGAGTCAATGCCTGCTGAAACCTGCGATCTCTACTTGTGCCGATCCCACTTGAAGAAGAAGCAGACAAGGCCAACGACGTTGCTATAAACAGAGCTCCTCTGTGCCACCTCCCAATCGGCAGTAGATAAGATTTCCTTACATACCTTGCACGTCTTGCTATCCTTCGAACTAGTCTCTTCTCTTCTAGATTCAATTTTGCCCTCTTCCTTACCTTTCTACAATTTTGGTTCCTAGGGTTCCTTCCCCATTGTCGATTCCAATTCGGAACTTCACCTTCATGCTCCTCTCTCATAGTAAGCTCCTGATCCATACCATGTTTCACACCTTTAGGGCCTATAGCACCAACATTAGAAGCAATTGGGCTAGGCTCAGGATTAGGCCCAACATACTGGGCTAAGTCAACCACCACCTCTTTCCGTTCCTTAGGCCTGCTAAACTGAGATACACATGCACCAAGCCCAAGAATGTGACCAGCATTAGAATCATTTCCCAAATGTTCATCGATAATACAGTTGGGAACTCTAGCTGTTTCAACTCTACATGCCTGAACAACGTTTGAGTTCCCTAAGCCGCTAAAACTTGTCTCCTCCACCGTAGATGTGGACACCAAACGATCTCTCAGAGCCATGTCAAACTCCATGATCTTATTGGACCTACCAACCTCTACCACTTCCTTCAGGTTATCCCCTAGCCCATCCACGTCAACTGCCACCTCATCATCATTTCCATCCTCCAGAACTCCAACAGCAGATCCATGGAGGGCCTCCTTGTTTGAACTATAGTCATCATGCCTCAAATGTAGCATGCACTTACATAATTCTATAACAAACTTAGTCTCCATTACTTGTTCTTCAGCAACCCGAACAGGAAAAATTGCATCCCTGCAACTGAGATTCACTACATTATTAATAAGCCCCATATGCTTGGTAAGTAATCTCACTCTCCCATATTCAAATGACTTCATACAGGATGCTTCATCTGCAATGCTAACCACTTCACCCCATAGCTTCCCAATACTTTTGAACATGTTAACATTCCATAAGTTCAAGGGTACCCCATAGCAACACAACCAGACAGTCCTCTCTTAGTCCAAAACTAGGCCTCGTCTCCATTCCATTATAGAACAACACCACTCCTTGAGACGCACATCCAGTTGTTCCATTCTAACCTTCTTATCTTCGACCGATTTGAATGTTAGCACTACATCCTTGCCCCCACCTCATCTCACTACAATATCTTCAGACCCAATGAGATGGACTATATTCTCAAAATCAAGGAAATCATACCCCATTTTCAGTTTAACAATAGCACTCTCATTCAACCATCCGTTGCCTTCCTCATTACCCATCACAACCAATCCATCTTCCCCTCCACCTTTAACCACGTCTTCATAGGACTTTCCCAGGGCACCTCTAACTGATCGATCAGTCACATGGACAGAAAAATACTCCAATCATCTTGTCTAAGTTTTTGAAGGAGAGATTTTGTTGTGGAGACTAATTTCATCGCATTTAAAAGGTCTTGAGTTTTCTGTTGCAAGGCTTGACAAAGTGTATTCATGATTCCCAAAATGTTGTCCATCAAGTGAAAGACGAATATGAATTCAAAGCTCTTCATTACTTTGTAAACACCATTAGCTTGCCCGCTAATTTGTTGATTTGTACTCTTCTTGAGACTTTCAACAACTACACAAGATGCCTCATACATATCAATCAAGTTTCTAATAGAGTCATAATGCGAGCTCCAACAAGTAGCTCCAGCTCGATGCAATGTACCAATTTGATTGGCCTCTTTACCAGATTGACGATCACCACTAGCCAACATATTTTTAACCCCACTCCTATGAAAAGATTTTAACTCACCAAAGGAGCTTTGGAGAAAAAGCAAAAAGATTGACAATACAACTCAACTGAGAAAAAAATTACCAAACATTAGGCTCCTCTTTTGCTGCTGCAATTAAGGCCAATTGCAAACGATGTGCAAAGCAATGTACATAATATGCATATGGACAATCTTTAAGAAATAAAGCTTGAAGTCCATTCCATTCGCCACGTATATTGCTAGCACCATCATGCCCTTGACCACACATGTTTTTAATAGGGAGATTAAATAGAGAAAGGATATTCAATAACTCTTTTTTAAGAGTCAATGTAGATGTATTTTTGATACCCCCGATATCAAAGAATCGTTCCCCTAGCAAACCATCATTCTTGACGTATCTCAAAATAAGGATCATTTCTTCTATTTTAGACTTGTCTTGGGATTCATCAACAAGAATACAAAAAATAACCTCTTGCAACTTTATCAAAAATCATATTCCTAACTCTGTTAGCAAATATACGTAAAATCTCCTTTTGGATCTTCAGAGAAGTGTATTTGGCATTTTGTGGAGCATTCTTTAATATAATGCTCTCAAGTGTGTCATTCCTTTTCACCTTGAACTTTAATAATTCAATTAGATTACTTTGATTCAATGAAGTCGAGCTTTCATCATGACCTCTAAAACCAAGTCCTTGAAGAGCAAGTACTTGAATGGTTTCAATTGTTGCCTTTACCCACATTCGATTCTTCTTCAAAATCTTTTCTTTTGATTGCGCATTCAACACTTTTTCAATGTGTTGGGGAGATTTCTTTAAATTGTAATGACTAATAACACAATGATTATGCGATGAAGATGCAAGTTCGACATGAAGCAAAAAAACACATTTGGATCCATCATTTACTCTCTTCCAATTGTTAAACTGCTCATCAACAAGTGCACAACGACTAATCGCCTTATTTGGATAATCAAACAAAAAGAATGAAAAACAATATGTTTTATCCTTTGAAGGTGTGACGACCCCGCCACGTGTAATATTTTATATTTGGTTAATTAAGGAGATTTGAGATTTTAATTAGTCGTTATCCTAATCTAATTTGGGAATTATGAGAATTGTAGAATCTAATTCATATATGATTCTAGTAAAGATTTATTTTGGAATTAGAAATTAAGGGTCCAAATGGCTTAAGGAAGTGAAATTAAGAAGTTGAATCAATTTAATTTTAATTACGGACTCATTTGGGAGTTTAATTAAATATCCGATTCAGTCTCGTAAAATTGAGATTCGATTAATTAGGTCCAAATTAGAGTTAATTAAATTAATTAAATTATGAGGATTGAGAATTGTGATTATTATGAATTAAATTTATTTATGGAGTGTCCAATTTGAATATGTAATTTATTGACGGAAATTTTGAGTCTGATTAGAAATTGAAGGACTAAATGATTTAGGAAATCAAAATTGATGATGACAATAATCTTAATTTAATATTTGGAGCCTTTCGGGAGTTTGATTAAAAATCTGATTCAGAATGGTAAAAATTAAATATAATTAATTGGGCCCCAATTGAAGTCGATTAGATTAATTAAATTATGTGGGATTTGTGATTAATTATGGTTAACTAAATTATGTGCTAAAGTAAGAGTAATTGATGTTTGATTAAATTAAAATGTAATTAACATACTAAGTTATTCCTAATCAAATCATAATGCAAGTTAATTGTTGGAATCCTCTAGAACCTTGGAGGCAACAAGTGCCTACGTGTATTTATGTGTGCTGGAGAAGAATTAAAAGAAGAAAAGAAAATCTGAAGGCAAGAAAGAGAGGAGCGAGCAAGGATCCTCTAGAGTATTTTTTTTCTAAAGTTTCCTAGAGTAGTGCATTATGTGATTGAGATTTAATGACAAGTCACATCAATTTTTCAACATTAAATCTCAACCACACAATGCACCACTCTAGGAAATTTTAGGAAAAAAATACTCTAGAGGATCCTTGGTGGAGAGGAGCACCGAGAAAGAGAGAGAGAGAGAGCTGCTGGACAATAAAAAAAAAAAGGGAAGGGGAAATTGAAGAACTCAAGTAGAATAACAAAGGAAGGAAAGGAAACTTGAGAATTTCGGCCAATTAAAGCTTAAGGTATGGAATTTATGTTCAATTTGTGTAGAATCTTTACATAATACTTGAAATTAAGAAAGTTACGAAATCAATTTTATGGGATTTGCAAGGAAATGGGCTTGAAGAAGAAATTGAAGCTAGGTTCATGGTTTATGGAAATAAACTTAGAAATTAATTATTTTTGGTTGGATTTTGTAGAATCATCTTATAATATTTGAGATTGAGAAGGATTTGAGATAATATTTATGGGATTAGACAGAAATTAGGTTCAATTGTATATAATTTGGATGAATTGAGGAATTGAACTTGAAATTAAGAAAACTATGGAATTAATCTTATGGATTTTGTAAGAAATTGGATTTTGAGTAAGAAATGGAAGCTTAGATTTTATAAATAATTGAGCTAAAAGCTAAAATTAAGAAATAATTGGGTTCTATATTTACATGCATTATAAATTTTGAAGAAATTGAGTTAATCAATTCCATATTGTGAAGAGAAAAAGGAAAAGTTTTATAAACATTAAAAATCCATGGAAATCTAGAATTAATCTTGAAGATAAATAAGGTTTTGATTTTAAATCCCTAATCCATGCATGTAATGTAATTTAAGAGTTTTACTTGATTTAACCATATTTTGGAATATATATTAAATTAGTTAGTTTATTTGAATTACTTACATGCAAGATTTGCTAGGAAAATTGATAAGAAAATGATGAGTTGGAATTAAGATCAAGTTTATGAAAGTAAAATTAGAAAGTAATTATTTTGGGCTTGATTTTGGAAAGTATGGTTAAATTAAGCTTCATAAATTGCATGCAAATATTCCTATAAGAGTTTTATAACTTTAATTTCATGTTTTGAAAATCAAGGAAAAATATTTGAAATCTTTACATGAGTAAATCGCTGATTTAGTAACGATTGATTAAGAAGCTAAGTTAGAAATCGGTCCATTTGGAAAAGAAAGATTTAGTAATGAAAGAATACGTAAAATGATAATCCGATTCATTTTAATAAAGAAAGAGTAAGTATAGTAGAACAAAAGATAGAACCGAACGAGTAAACAGTGAATGAAAACCGATTAAGTAAACAACAAATCGATTGAGCGAGTGGACTGTGTATTGAATTGTTGTGCTTGAATTTGTTCGTTTAGGTCGGACGCAGCACTGTTAGTGCATTATAGCACGTTTTTCGAGGAGCCCACTGTGAGTAACAATGTTGTAAAGATATATTCAATCGTATTTATTTTCAGATTGATAAATAATATTATTTTTTGAAATGATACTTTTTATCGATTGAACGATGATTCTATTTTGAATTATATTCGTGGCATCCATAGCGTATTGTGATTGTTATTGTTGTTGATATCGTTATTGTTACAAAGATCTCTGTCAATTCCAAATCTTAGAACTATTGTTATTGTATGATGGCCATCAATAGATTGTTCTAGTGTATTGTTGCTATTGGATGTACCACGTATGACCTATAAGAACAAGATTGATTGAATCGATTGAATTGAACGATTGATTGACAAATGATAGCGATTGAAGTGTTCTAATACTAATTGATTGTTTCAAAGACTGTAAAGGACATCATTCTTAACCTCTTTACACATTTGTTATTCACTGGGTTTTAGCTCACAATTTATTATGTATATTGAGAGGGAGTTTTTTTGTGCATTTAGGACCGAGCGGGGCCCAGAAATTGTAGTGGACCGATCTATGGGCCGTAATGAAAAGAACTTAGCAATTGGACCTTGCTTCTGTTAGCTCGGTCTAAGTATGGTCACAATTACCTCGGTCGGAGTGGTAATAATTAGCTCGGTCATAGTGTTCAGATCCGAGGTATAGTTGAACAGTGACCGAGCTAAGCGTCGCTTGGGGACGCACTGAGCTGAGTTTGTCTGAGGGTTAGGGGTAGCTCGGTTGTTTGGTCATATCACCGCGGTAAAACCATCTCACTTGGTTAGGCAGTGAGGGGGGCGTAGAAAGATGAGCATTACCTTTCTGATTCCTAGGAGGACTCTACATTGGAGAAAAAGAGTCATACTAGGATTGTGCCACGGGGAATCCATAAAAGCTCATAGCAGGACCTATGTACATGTATCACAATTTTGACTCTCAAATATACAAAGCTTTTGTCTATTGTCTATTTGCTGACTTAGGCATTGGAAAGGTGTCCGGCACACACTCACCGGCTAGCTCACGTTTGTATTTTCAGGGAGTAAAGCGACGACGTATGAAGAATCGCAGACTTGATCAACAGGATTATACGAGAACATTATTTCGTGCACGTACAATTGGCGCCGTCTGTGGGAAAGTTCACCAAGAACAAAACCTTTTGATCGAGTTTTCCTCTTTAGTTGAAAGCAATGGCGCACAATGAAGACTTGCTGCAATCTGCTATTGATAGGCAAACCCCGGAGGGGGGTGAGAGGCACGAAGGTTTACCTTCTATCCCACCTATGGTGGACTTAGAACCCCCAGCGACGGAACTCTCGAAGGGACACAAGGGAGACACGGGGCACTAGTCCCCGTCACTCTCAAAGTCCTGAAAGATAGAGGCGGAGACTGGATCCTCAAGTTCTGGAGGATCGCGTGAGGGAGCAAGACGAGTTAATAAGGAGGATGGCGGCAGACATGGAGACAATGAAGTGCCAGATAAAAGGGAAAGGGGTGGCGATAGGAGAGGGGCGCAAGCAACACGCCCCCTCGCCACTCAGAAGACCGTGACAGACATACTACACCTTCACAAGCAGAAAACAGAAGCCGTAGAACAGGCGATACTCAGTCAAGGACTTCCAAGACTCGTCACTCCAAGTCTGAGAGAACGAGGACTGAAAGGTCATATACAGAGGGATGCAGTTATCGCCCCTCACACACGCACCAGACGACATCTAGGCACGCGGAGTTGCCTAGATCAGCGGACTTACGGACAGTGCTGGAGGAGAGGGCCCAATGGAAGGAAGACACCAGGGCTCGCGACCCTCGCAGGGTTGTAGCGCTACAGCGATTGGCCCCTAGGACACATGGAAGTGTCGAGGTAGGGATGCCAATGTCGCGTCTTGCTTACAAACCAGCAGATAAAGTATTAGCAAGGTTACAGAGCTCGCCGTTCATTCCGGCAATAGAGAACGCACCATTACTTTCAGGCTTCCACCAGCCCAAATTCACTACTTATGAGGGGAAGACAGACTCCTACATGCACTTAAGCCACTTTCGCCAGGTTATGGCAGTATACCAGTGAAACGAGGCTCTAATGTGTATCTTGTTTCCATTCAGCCTGGGCGACCTAGGTCTAACCTGGTTCGAAAGTCTACCAGAAGGTAGCATCGCCTTATAGGCACAATTGGCAGAAACGTTCGTGACTAGATTCAGAACGAACACCAAGACACCAGTAGAGATTGATCAGCTACTCTCCATTGACATGGGGGAAAAGAAGACATTGAGGTCTTACAATAGTCGATATTGGTAGACTTTCAACCAGATTAGGGATTGCCCTACAAATCTCGCCATCGCACAATACAAAAGGGGTCTACCAGTCGGAAACAAATTGAGGGACTCGATTACTATGATGCCACCCCTCACGATGGAGGCTCTAATGAAGAGGGTGTATTAACATATCCGTATAGAGGAAGATAGCGCCCAAGCTAAAGCAAAATCTGGCACAGTAGTAATACCAGATAAAAAGACTACCGCAAAAGTTAACACGGTAGAACAACCAAGCAGGAATAGGCGAGGCAGGCCAGCCAACAGATAGGACCCAAAAAAAAGGAACTTGAGGGTCCGCACTGCCATCACCACCATGTTCAATAAACCTATCTACCAGATTCTCAACGAGATACGTAATGAACCCTACGTTCGGCGGCCAGCCAAGTTGGAAGAAGCACAAAGGGCCTATGACGAGAGGTCCCGTTGCACCTTCCATGATGAGAAGCGGCACCGAACTGAAAACTGCACCCCCCTGAGGCAACATCTGGAAGAGTTAGTAGCTGTTGGACACCTGGACCAGTATATAGAAGGGGGAACACATGCAGCCCCCCAGGACCTTAACGGACCAAACGGGATGTCGATCGACGGTCCACCCCAAGGCATGATCAATGTTATTCATGGGATCGTCGAACCTGAGCTGGTATGTGAACTTAGGGGATGATAAAAAAGGCAGAGCACTTGAAGGAGGTGTTAAGTGCATAGCCTACCATCAAAAAGGACAGAACAGAAGCTACGAATGTCATATCCTTCTCAGACAAGGATCTAGCAAGGCTATATTGCCCTCATAATGACGCACTGGTGGTGACTTTGCGCGTCAAAAATTTCGACATCAAGCGGATTCTAATTGACCAAGGAAGCTCATGCGAGATAATGTACTACGAGACCTTCAAACAGCTGAAATTGGAGGACAAAGACTTGGCACCTGCGACATCTCCACTCGTCGGTTTCAACTCAATGCCAGAGTGGCCAGTGGGCAAGATAATCCTCCCAGTCAAGGCAAGAACCATGATAAAACAAGTGGAATTCTGGGTATTGAAGGTCCCTTCCGCTTATAACATAATCTTAGGGAGAACATGGTTACACACCATGAGATCGGTAGCGTCAACGTACCATCAAGCATTGCGGTTCCCCAAAGAAGCCGGAGTAATTGAAGAGGTCTTGGGAGACCAAATTATGTCGAAACAGTGCTTCATCATAATAAATGGTAGCCAGGCTGCAAAAAGGTATGTATAGATGGTGGAAGAGCCAGAGAGCAATGAACTGTTTGCGAATGTTGGCAAGGCAGCTGAACAGAAGGCAGTGGAAGACTTGGTAGAGGTAAGGATAGATGAAAAGAACCCAGAAAAGTTCTTTTTGCTCGGCTCGTCTTTGTCCAGCACTGAGAGAATAGAAGTCATGGAATTCTTAACCTCTAACATCGAAGTGTTTGCCTAGATACCATACGACATGCCTGGCATTGACCCAAACTTCATCTGTCACCAACTTAATGTCCACCCAACTGCCAGACCAATTATATAGCGAACTCGTAAATCGGCACTCCACCATGCGGAGATAGTGGTGGACGAAATGAGAAACTTGCTAGAGGCAAGAGCCATCAGAGAAGTGCACTATCCCAGGTGGATCTCTAATACTGTAGTAGTGCCAAAGAAGAACGGAAAATGGCGTGTCTGTGTGGATTACAAAACAGTCAACAAGGCATGCCCAAAGGACAATTTTCCCCTACCACGGATAGATTAACTGGTAGACCTAACAACAAGATACAATCGACTTAGCTTTCTTGATGCGTACAGAGGTTACCATCAAATCGCTATGTATGAACCAGACCAGGAGGTCACATCATTTACAATGCCTAGAGGATTATATTGTTACAAGGTCATGTCCTTTGGTCTAAAGAACGCAGGGGCTACATTCCAACGGATGGTCACCAAAATGTTCGAACCGTTGTTAGGCAGAATAATGGAGACTCACATAGATGACATGGTGGTCAAAAGCAAGGATGAAAAGGACTATCTCAAGGACCTAGATGAAATGTTCCAAATTCTGAAGAAGAACAAGTTGCGTCTAAATGCATCCAAGTGTGCATTCGGCGTAGGATCCGGCAAATTCCTAGGTTTTCTGGTGACCAACCGAGGTATAGAAGCAGACCCCTCTCAGATCAAAACAATCCAGGATCTTGAGAGGCCCAACACAGTTAAAGAGGTGCAGCATCTCACTGGCCTAGCAGCCGCACTCAACCGGTTCATAAGTCGATCATCAGACAGATGTCGACCATTCTTCCAAGCATTGAAGGCCAAATTTGAGTGGGATGAAGAATGCAACCGCTCCCTAGAGAGCTTAAAAGACTGCATGACCTCTCATCCATTGCTAGTAACCCCAGTACCAGGAGAAGAGCTTTTTTTGTACTTAGCAGTTTCACAGCATGCAGTCAGTGCAGTGTTGGTCAGGGCGGAAGGAATCCAACACTTGCCTATCTTTTATGTCAGCAATACCCTGCTGGGCGCTGAAACCAGGTACCTAGCATTGGAAAAACTGGCGTTGGCTTTGGTGATGGCCTCAAGAAAGTTGTCACACTACTTCCAACCAGGTACCTAGCATCGAAAAGTTGTCACACTACTTCTAACCCTGCTGGGCGCTGAAACTAGGTACAAAGGTGCTGAAATGCTGACATGGGCAAAACCCTGCTGGGCGCTGAAACCAGGTACCTAGCATTGGAA